TAAGTATGTCATCCGGGTGCAAAATAGCCACGTCACAGTTCATTAGCCGATGTGGCGTTCCAGCGTGAAACCAACATGTGGGTCCATAGCTCATAATTATAGGAACCGTCTAAACTATCATGTGATTCTTATATAGGTGCCAAACTATAAAATTACTCATCTGGGCCATTTATTTAAAAAATACATTTTTTGAATCTCATTCAAAACAACCGAAGAACTTTGCCCCCACCCCCACATTTCATTTGTACGCTCACACACACACACAACAGGGTGTCTTCAACGACGTATGCGGGATGAAGCTAGACCACGGCGTCACAGCGGTGGGCTATACTATAGCGAGAACAGCAAGGACTACTGGATCGTGAAGAACTCGTGGAGCGCTAGCTGGGGTGAGGCCGGCTACATCTGCATGAGGCGCAACGTGCCCATGGCCACGGGCAAGTGCGGCATCACCATGGATACGTACTACCTGAGCAAGAGTCACCCCAGGGCAAACAGGACCGCACAGTCGATCTGTGCTGGAACTACATATGTGGTCCTTGCATAGATATGCAGGCCATCCACATCATATATGGATTCCCTCTTGCTATTGATAGCCTGATACACTAGTTGACGCTGGTGTTGATTGTGGAATATCAAGTTTAGACTTTGCACCTTTTATCCCACGTGTGATGTGTACGGATGTTAATAAGATGTCAGTAAGGCTTTGTGTAAAACAGCCATGTCACAATCCGTTAGCTGACATGGCGCTTCAACGTGGAATCTACATGTGGGTCCATAACTCAAAATTATAGGGATGGTGTAAACTATCATGTGATTCTCACCTAGGTCGCAAACTATAAAATTACTCATTTTGGTCCCTGATAATCTATTAAACTAATGTAGTCCTTGTCTGAAGAAACCTCATCACGCTTCATTCATCGTCATGTGAATTGCCAAACAGGTTTTCGAGCCTTTGCTTGCCATTGAACTTCTTATTGTCTGCTTTTCATCTTATCTTGGAGAGAAATGTATCGATGCCATCTGCCAATATGGTTGGACTGGGCGACATACTGACACGCCCTATCGTCAAGTGTGTGGTAAGACACATCACTCGCTACGGTGACATGGAACAACTGGCCAACATACCCGCAAAGTTGTTGCTGACCGATTGTTCCATGTCACCAATTCACATTGAGCGAGTGAGGTGTTTTAGCACACACTTGACAACAATGTCTGTCTTGGCGTGTCCCTTGATCCAACTATATTGGCAGATTAGGGACCGAGATGGGTAATTTTATAGTTTAGGACCTATGTGAGGATCTCATGATAGTTTAGGCACCGTCCCTGTAATTATAAGCTATGGACCCACATGTCAATTTCATGCGAGCGTCACGTTAATTAATGGACCGTGACGTTGTTTTTTTGACCTAGATGACATACTTAAATAGTTTAGGACCTAGATATGCAATTTCATAGTTTGGGGATCTAGATAAGAATTGTTTAATATTTTAGAAAATGATAGTTTAATTTATTTTTACTTAAAAAAACTAACTAGAAACCATGCCAAAACAAGCATCGGCGTAGACTCGTAGCTCTAGTGGTGCTTATCTCTACAAATCACGTCAACGGTTGTTGGTTGGCGCCGTGGGTGGGCCCGGATCGGCTGCACGTGGAAGCAACGGTGGCGTCGAGGTCGGAACCGACGGAGCCAGCTGAAATAGAAGTAGGGATGCAAGGATTTGTAAACCCTAACAGCAGGGATGGTCACCGACCAATGATTAAGGGGAAGGTGTGGAGTGGACTACGTACCCGAAAGGGCAGATCTGGCGACGAAGGGGCTGGATCTACTTGGCAAGACGGCGATGACGAAGCGGCGGCTCAGGGACGGCGACGCCGAACCAAATCTGACGAGACACCCCGTGTGGATGTCGCCTTACTTCTCAGGCCCAAGGGACCTAGACTCCGTGACTGGAGGGTAGTGGGTTGGTCTTGCTTGTGCCTGGGATACAAGCGGGGCGTGCGTTTCAGGGTACCTAGCTAGGATACAATGGTTCACGAATCACCAGGTGATCCGGTATGATTTGTCTATAGTCTAGCACCGTAGTAAGAACTTAAAGATGAAAGATGGTAAAATAGTTCTGATTGCTTACCACTTGCTTAAAAGTAGCACGGGTGCTTTACATAGAATTGTTGGTTAATGAACTAATGCTGACTGCTAATAAAATTGAATATAAGGCCGCACGTTTAGTAATGACCCAGCAGATGCAATAAATCCACAAGCCAGATAGCCTTGCATATCATTGGAGTCTTTTATTTCTCATGACGGGTAAGTCTTGCTGAGTACAATTGAGTACTCAGGGTTTTATTTCCCCCCTGATGCAGGTGACAGGCGAATGCTAGAGTTGACTCTTGTGTGTGGATCCCTACTGATGGGCTCAGAGAGGATTCCTTTACGCTGCGATCATAGTTTTTATTGATAACTCTCGCTAAATGTTTTTATAAATAAAAGTTTCATAATCTGTTGTCATAGTTTATATATCAATACTTCATCATGTCATGAATATATATTTATTTCCGCTGTAACTCTGATCGCATGTTTATATTTCGCTGTTAAATTAAATTGTTCATAACTCTGATAACATGTGAAAAAATCTACAGACTATCATAGGCATCCAGAAATTTAAGATGGAACATTGCGGACTTTTTATGCGCTGTTTTTTCCTTCTAATTTTTTTAATGCATACTGTGGATAAATCCAAAATCAGGAAAAAATAGGTAACACTCCAGGTTAGTACTTGCCTTTTATGGAAATATATTAAGCTCGCATCTTGTTGTTGTGAAATGAAGATAAAATAAACACAAAACAAAAACAAAAAAGCTTTAAGAGTTCTGAAATGCATTCAGCCCTCTCATAGGACAACCAAAAGGAAACTCTGCTCTGCTCTGCCTAGCCAGAGAGTACAACTAAACAATTTTTTCAGTTCCACCTTCCACGACTGTTTCCAATTAGATTAGATTGTGTGTATGATGCACCCAGAAAAAGAAGAATGTGAATGCAACCAATCAGCCATGAGCCCATGACGCCCTGCCCTCGCTGAACTAGCTCACATCTGCGGTGCGGACTGCGGAGAGATGGTCTCCTCTCGGGTAGCGTCTCCAACAGAACAACACAGGGTCAGAGAGAGGTGGACAAATCGCCGTCAGACTTGAAGCCAACCGGCATGCACCGCCGCTGGATCGACTGAACCCAAACAATGTTCGGATCACGCATGCACGTGAGTACTCGCCTACTCCGCTCCTTCAAAAAAGTGTAAGGTGTTTTAACTTAAATTTTGTTTAACTTTAACTAAAAAATCCATCAACTTGGAGTCTTGGACACCACCAAATTAGTTTCATTAAATCACTACGAAATATACCTCAATAGTGCATTTATTTGACATAGTCCACGCCAGTATTTTTTTAATAGACTCTGTCAAAGTTAGAACAAATCTGTTATAAATATGATATATGATAAAACTAAAATACACTTAATATTTTTGCAATGGAGTGGGCGTACACTTCTCATTCATGCAGTCGCAAACAAGCAACAAAACTTTGGATCGATGTAGATTGATGCTGGATTGCTGGCTGGCGTTCAAGAGTGAAGTTGGAATTAAATGAGATGGCTTGGATTGCTTCTGAGGTTCAACTGTTCAAGGAATTCCATAAATTAGAGATTTTATTATCGATGTATATCCAAATATATATATATATATATATATATATATATATATATATATATATAACAAACTAGAAGCATAGCCCACTCGTTGCTGCATAAATTGTGGATAATTTAGAATAAAATTAGACTATATATAATTACTTATACGAAGAAGTAAACCATTTTAAATTAATGCTAGTGGATTGCGTGGCATGTTGACATGGACAACAAAATGCTTTGTGTGTCTTGCTGATGTGGATATCACAATTGCATGTGCTAGTGGATTTTAATTGCATGTGATAGTGCATTGCTAAAGTGGACAGTTTGCATGTTGAGACACATCGCTAGTGGATGTTGTTGCTTATGCTACTTCAGCAGTACTTTTCAGCGAACGAACAGTGTTTTCTCACAATAAATCAAGATAAACAAGCAGCATAAGCCAAATTTCAGCGAAACGAACAGGGCTTCTAGAGATTTTGGCTATATGCACGTCTTAGAAGGAATGCGATACTGGCTGTTTGATCACCTCGCCTCCTTAATCTTCTCCATTAAGCAAACATGCAAATGCATAATACAAAAGTTGAAGATTACATCACCGATCCCATTAACATATCTTGCAATCCGGTTCCATCCAATCGAAGATGTTAGGCTTAAATTCACTATTATATATGCTTTCATCATTTGGCCACCTTTTGTTTTTGCACAAAGTCAGCTCCTATATATATATAATCACAATTTTATGCAACTACGACAATGACAGTACTTCACTTAAACAAAATGCAGCAGAAGCCGGGGTCAAAACAATTACGCTATGTCAAATTCCAAAAGAAGCAAAACAACATCATCCCCTTCTCAGTTATCCAGTTATATCTTCTATAAAAATATTCTTTAAGTTTGACGTAGATCCCTGTCTTTTCTCTATTGCAACTAAAATTAAGAGTAAATTACACCGGTGGTCCCTAAAGTATTACACGATTCTCATCCAGGTCCTCAAACCATGAAATTGCAGATTAGGTTCCTAAACTACTTAAGTATGTCATCCGGATGCAAAATAGCCACATCACAGTTCATTAGCCGACTTGGCGTTCCAGCGTGAAACCAACATGTGGGTCCATAGCTCATAATTATAGGAACCGTCTAAACTATCATGTGATTCTTATATAGGTGCCAAACTATAAAATTACTCATCTAGGCCATTTATTTAAAAAATGCATTTTTCGAATCTCATTCAAAACAACCGAAGAACTTTGCCCCCACCCCCACACTTCATTTGTACGCTCAAACACACACAAACACAACAGGGTGTCTTCGACGACGTATGCGGGATGAAGCTAGACCACGGCGTCACAGCGGTGGGCTATACTATAGCGAGAACAGCAAGGACTACTGGATCATGAAGAACTCGTGGAGCGCTAGCTGGGGTGAGGCCGGCTACATCTGCATGAGGCCCAACGTGCACATGGCCACGGGCAAGTGCGACATCACCATGGATATGTACTACCCGAGCAAGAATCGTCCCAGGGCGAATAGGACCGCACAGTCGATCTGTGCTGGAACTACATATGTGGTCCTAGCGTAGGTATGCAGGCCATCCACACAATATATGGATTCCCTCTTGCTATTGATAGCCTGATACACTAGTTGACGCTGGTGTTGATTGTGGAATATCAAGTTTAGACTTTGCACCTTTTATCCCACGTGTGATGTGTATGGAAGTAAATAAGATGTCAGTAAGGCTTTGTGTAAAACAGCCATGTCACAATGATGGGACTAGGGGTTGTTCCTGATCTTTTGGTGAGTGTGGATAAACTCGATTTGGGGTGGATTCGACGTTGGCTGTCCGACTACAACGACCACAAGGTTGCTGCGCCTTAGCAACAGGTACACCGGCTCCGATTGTGATGTTCTTGCCGTGCCAAGAACACCAAGAACCTGCAAGCAACCGAGAACAAGCAAGAACAAGATGAACAAGCAAATAACTCACGGATTTAAGCCAAAGGCTGAATCTGAATCACAAGTTGGGGTCTTGAAACAAGCAAATCGGGTGGTCTAGCCGACACACGCGTTTACAAGGAAGAAGCAGCAGCTATCTTGCATCTAAACAAAACCCAACCTCATTCTGATGGCTGCTGGCTCTATTTATAAGGAGGAGAGCACAAGGGGAGTGGGAAACCCTAATCAAGGCGTCCCTCAAAGGGTTGTAGTTAGTACAAGGCCCAGCCCAAGCTATAGGTCTCTGCGTCCTTTGGCTTGCTGCACACTTCGGTGGATTCTCGATAGTGGGGTTGGACCCATGTGAAAGAGGACGACGCTCTTTCCAACAAGTCAAAAACTAGCTTCATTGGATCTCGTATCAAGGAGTTATGGTACTTTTGATGGAGTGTCCCTGCTGTCTCGAGATGAGCTCTGGCGCCCCATTAATGATGATTCCCACTTGTTTGGCTGCTCCATCCTCATCATGGGGTCTAAACAGAGGCAATGGAGTCTTGACCAACATTCCTAAGAATAAGACAATCATCACCATGATTTAGTAGCATCCAATTACGAGACGAGTTTGTATGAACAATGAGGAACAACTTTACTGATAATTAAGTTGTCGTGCTCGAGCTCTTGTCATCGGACCTTGTTGTGCAAAAGAGGTGTGGTTGTATCAATGGAAGGGATGTCCTCATCATCCTCCCCTTCTTGCATTTGAGTCATCCTCGACTCTAGTTCATCCTCTTCTCCCAAATATGGCTTCAAATCTGCAATGTTAAATGTGGGGCTAACCCCAAAAGCTGCTGGTAGCTCAAGTTTGTATGCATTATCATTAATCCTTTCTAACACTTTAAAAGGACCATCGGCTCTAGGCAACAACTTAGACTTTTCGCAAATCGGGAACCTATCTTTTCTCAAATGGAGCCAAGCTAGATCACCAGTGTTCAAAAATGACATGTTTCTTCCCTTTGCTACCAGCTAGTTTATACTTTGCATTCATGCACTCTATTTTCTCTTTAGTGGTTTCATGCAATTTTAAGATCGTTCAACCGTTGTTTAGCATCAAAGTTCACTCGCTCCGAGGTCGGAAGAGGTAACAAATCAATAGGAGCACGTGGCACAAACCCATAAACTATCTCAAAAGGGCTTTTCTTAGTGGTAGAATGTGTGAACGATTATAAGCAAACTCAACATGAGGCAAACACTCTTCCCACATTTTTATGTTCTTTTTCAAAACAGCCCTAAGCAATGTAGATAAGGTTCTATTGACAACCTCGGTTTGTCCATCGGTTTGGGGATGACAAGTAGTGGAAAATAAAAGCTTAGTCCCTAGCTTAGCCCACAAAGTTCTCCAAAATGACTAAGAAATTTTGTATCCTGATCGAAAACAATGGTGTTAGGCACACCGTGCAATCGAACAATCTCACGAAAGAACAAATCAACAACATGTGTAGCATCATCGCTCTTATGACATGGTATGAAATGTGCCATTTTAGAAAATCATCCACAACAACAAACACACTATCCCTCCCTTCTTTGTTCTAGGCGGTCCTAAAACAAAGTCCATTGAAATATCTTCCCATGGTGCACTTGGAACAGGAAGAGGCATGTATAAACCATGAGGATTAAGGCGTGACTTAGCTTTACGGCATGTTGTGCAATGAGCAACGAACCTCTCCACGTCTCTCCTCATCTTGGGCCAAAAGAAATGACCAAGCAAGGATGTCCTCTGTCTTTTCACACCAAAATGTCCCATGAGTCCTCCTCCATGCGCTTCTCGCAACAATAACAAACGCACGGAGCTAGCTGGAATGCATAGCTTGTTGGCTCTAAAGACAAACCCGTCGGTGAGGACGAATCTGTAACATGTTTTCCCCTCTTGGCAATTCAGCAATACATCTTTGAAATCATTGTCATGTGCATATTGTTCCTTAATAGTTTCCAAACCAAAGATTTTAAAGTCAAGTTGTGAAAGCATGGTGTAACGTCTAGACAAAGCATCAACAATTATATTTTCCTTCCCCTTTTTGTGTTTGATGACATAAGGAAAGGACTCGATGAATTCAACCCACTTGGCATGTCTACGGTTCAGTTTTGCTTGACTACGGATGTGTTTCAATGATTCATGATCAGAATGTATGACAAACTCTTTGGGCCACAAATAATGCTGCCATGTTTCCAAAGTCCGAACTAGAGCAAGCAATTCCTTATCATAAGTAGAATAGTTCAAACTAGGGCCACTCAACTTTTCACTGAAATACGCCACATGTTTTCCCTCTTGTAACAGCACACCACCCAACCCAATTCCACTAGCATCACATTCAAGCTCAAAGGTTTTGTTGAAATCGTGAAGTTGGAGTAAAGGTGCATGAGTTAACTTATCTTTGAGCGTGTTGAAAGCATCCTGTTGGGCTGCAGCCCAAGTGAAGGTTGCACCTTCTTGGTGAGTTCATGCAATGGGGCTGCAATGGTGCTGAAGTCCTTCACAAATCGACGGTAGAAACCAGCAAGTCCTAGAAAACTCCGCACTTGTGTGACCGTGTAGGGAACAGGCCAGCTGTGTATGGCCTCAACCTTGGCTTGATCAACTTCGATTCCTCTGCGTGTCACAACATATCCAAGAAAAGAGACTCGATCAGTGCAAAAGGTGCACTTCTCAAGATTGCCAAACAAGTGTGCATCCCGAAGAGCATTGAAAATGGCACGCAAATGATCAAGATGTTCCTCTAATGATCTACTATATATCAAGATGTCATCAAAGTATACCACTACAAATCTGCCAATAAAAGAGCGTAAAACCTCGTTCATTAATCTCATGAAAGTCTTTGGGTGCATTAGTCATATCCAAAGGGCATGACAAGTCATTCATATAAACCAAACTTAGTTTTAAACGCTGTTTTCCATTCATCTCCTAGCTTCATACGAATCTGTGGTAACCACTCATAAATCAATTTTAGAGAACACAATTGAGCCACTCAATTCATCAAGCATATCATCTAACCTTGGAATAGGATGACGATATCTGATTGTGATGTTGTTTATCGCTCTACAATCAACACACATGCGCCATGATCCATCCTTCTTAGGAACTAAAAAAGCACGGAACAGGCACAAGGGCTAAGAGACTCACGCACATAACCTTTGTTGAGCAATTCTTGTACTTGTCTCTGAATCTCTTTTGTCTCGTTCGGGTTGGTCCTATACTGGCATACGATTAGGCAAGGAAGCCCTAGGGATGAGGTCAATCTGGTGTTCAATCCCTCGAATTGGTGGCAGCCCGGTGGTACCTCCTTTGGAAAAACATCGGCATACTCCTGCAAAAAGATTAGTGACAATAGAGGAGGCAAAGAAATAGATGTATCTTCGAGTGAAAATAAAGTTTCTTTGCAAACCAAAGCATAGCAAACAGTAGTACTAGCATCAATCTCATCCAAATCAGATTTGGTGGCAAAGTAACAAGAGCCTTTCAAATTGATCTCATTTTTATTATGATGAACAGATTTGCTAGACTTCTTCTTATGTTTCTCAAGTTCATTAGCGACAATCTGATTTTCACTAGCAACACCTTTCTGATTCTTAAGTTTGCTAGATCTAGCAAGTTCATCTCTTAGAATAGACTCGGGGGACATGGGGTGCAACACAATCTTCTTGTCATTATGCACAAAAGAGTGTTGATTTGTTTTACCGTAGCAAGGAATCTTTATCAAACTGCCATGGTCTACCTAACAACATAGAGCATGCTTGCATAGGCACAACATCGCAGTCAATGGAATCATGATAAGAACCAATGGCAAACTCTACCCTTACCAATCGGGTTACCTTCACCTTGCCATTGTTTGTTAAGCCACCGAATGTAGTAAGGTCATGGGTGTGGTTTTGTTCTCAATGAAAGCTTCTCCACCATTTCAAAGCACTTGCCAAGTTGTTGCAGCTTCCTCCATCTATGATCACACACAAGAGCGTTCCTTGATCACACACTTGGTTTGAAACAAAGTGTGGCGCTGATTTTGTTTAGCCCTCTCCATTTGGGCACTTAGCACCACTGCACCATGAGGCTCTCATAGTGCTCAAAGCAGCTTCAGCCCTAATGTGCTCTTTGTCTTGTTGGAAATCATCTCCTTCCGCTACATTGTTAGCAACAAGCAAAGCATATGTTTCTTCATCAAAATCACTAGCGGAGGAATACCCACCATCACCTCGCACAATCATCACACGTGTGCTTGGGCGATCCTTGCGTATGTGGCCATATCCTTTGCAAAGTGTAGGCATGAATATCCCTTGTTCTCCCGTGGATACCACCGAGGATGAACTCTTGGCGGATGTAGCCGTTGCTCCTCTAGTTGGTTCACTTGGGCATGGTACAGAATTTGTTGTAGAGGAGCGTGGCTTGATGGTCAAGGAAGATTGTGGGGGTGCACGCGTTGGCGGTGCAGCAAAGAAAGATTGGAGGGTGTCCATGGGCTAGCACGACCTGCAGGAATGTTAGCCCTCATGCTAGCTCGTCGTCCACTGCACTTCTCGTTCACTTTACAAGCAAGGTGAAATAAACGATTGATGAATTATATTCCTTATAAGCTAGAATGTCCTGAATCTCCTGGTTCA